ACCTCTGCTCTTCTCCTCTCTTCCGTTCTCCCCTTCGTCCAGTCTCTCTCTCCCCTCTCTCTTCTCTCTTCTCTCTCTCTTCTCTCCTCTCTCTCTCCTCGTCGAATTCTTCTCGGTACCTTGTCTCTTCTCCTTCTCTCTCTCTCTCTCTCGTCTCTCTTTACTCTCTCTCTCTCTCGTTCTCTTTCTACCCTCTCTCGTCGCTGCTCCTCTCCCCTCTCTCAGACCTTCTCTCTTTCTCTATCTATCTATCTCTCTCTCTCGCCCTCTCCTCCCCCTCTCTCTCTCTCTCTCCCTCCCATTCCCTCCATCCCTCTCCCTCCTACCGTCCCTCCATCCCACACGCTCCCTCTCCTTCCTACCGTCCCTCCATACCCACGCCCCTCTCCTCCTACCGTCCCTCTCATTCCACGTCCCTCTCTTCCTTCCCTCTCTCGGTCCCTCCTTCTCATCCTAACTCTTTCTGCTCCCTTCCTTCCTCCTTGCTTTCCACCCCCACTCATCTCTCTCATTACAACCCTCGTATTACAAGGGCCTCTGATGTCTGGCTTATCGCTCACTCGACATTCAACGTCAAACTGCCGAGGACATCGAGAGCAAACATCCTACACATCGCTTCTACAATGCAGGACGTCGAAGATGTGATCTATCTTGCTGGCAGGGGAAGTCCAATTCATGGAACTGCCACCGCATGCGCCATCAAGCTGGCAACTGACGCATGCTTTTCACTAATCGCTTGACAAATGCGTGAGCACACTCGCCAGCTTGCAATAATGTTGGACAATAATATAAATTATAAATGTGAGGGCAAACATACCATGAGAAATGTCTTGCCGTTATTGGCACCCCATATAACATGAAACCAATAAGAACCGAGCATCATTATTCATAGTTGTTGTTTTTTCAGTAGAACCCTTTAAATTTATACGCCCACTGAGACAAGCTCTCATTCAGTCGTAACGACCTGACATATACAACGCCTATCTGATAAAGAAAAAAATACTTGCTCAAATTGCCACTATAGATTAAAATGGATACTCTGGAAGGTTGCTTAGCAACCGTACATTTTGAGATAAAACGATCCCACACTGAGTTCAAGGTATTCTAACTCTGCGGATTAGCATTGGGATGACGACCTCTCTCCTACTGCCCAATCACGAACACAAACTGATATCATAAACTGCTAGCTCGTACCGGGACACGAAGACAGTCCACCGCACAGCAGACGTGAGAATACTGCTGTGTGTATACGAGTCGTACATTCCGCTGCCTGCTTTGTGTGTGTTTGCGTGCGTGGCGTGCGTGCATGCGTCATGCCCGTTGCAGGCAACATTGTTGTGATAATGTGATTGCATAAAGTGCATGTCATGTCCAGAATGTTGTGTGAGTGATATTCTTATTGCAACAGCTCGTTCCTTATACTGCTCTGTCTGATCCCATATCTCTCCATGCCCGGTTGACTCTATTCTCGAAAAAAAAAATCTACGGTAGGTATTTCCGGATCCCCACTTCAAAATTAATTATGTTAATTTGATAAATAAATAACCGTTGTCCCTGCTCATTCTGGCTCGCGCAGTTCAGTTCGGGGCATCTGATCGTGCAGCCAGATCGTACGTAGCTCAGTGGATGATTACAGATTGAATGTCTGCTTAGGTCGTTGCAAATGCAGCAGTATTACACAAAAAAGAAAGTCTTCAAACTCCCTTGCGCCCATTCAACTTCGACTTTAGGTAGCGCCTCGCTAGTCCTGCCTACATCATCAGCTCCTACAACTCCTATTAGCGACTTGCATCCAGCCTCAGCACACCGACACTGCAACAGGTGCCTGAAATCGAGAAAGAAATTCACCGGTTACGTGAGAACTTAGTAAAGCTGAACTCTGCTTGGATATATATTAATTAACGTTGCTGATACACCCACTAGTCAGATTTAGAACGCCGAGTAAGCCACAGGAAGCACAAAATGGCCAAAGTGATGAATCTGTTTTTGATTGAGGGAGATGCAGCGTGATGTACTGAAATGCCATGGCTGAGCACTCGTGTTTTTTGATCTCGTGGTTTCTACTGGAATACTCAGTCTTGCAGATCCGAGCGCAAGCAATTTCTGCGTCACTTGCTCGACCTGTGTGCGCACACAGACGAGATGAGCGGTGCTCGTACGTCAGAACTCGGCCGCCGCAGATGGCCCACCTCTGTAAGGCATCCTCAAGATTTCCTCGCTTCGACCCTTCGCAACCTCAGACTATCTCAGCCAATAAAGAGTTACATATTCCTTATACTTGCAGCACCATATGAAGCTTAACGATAGCGGTCTTTACAAATGCAAATAGATAGCTCATGTTAATTTCGCTTGTAGCACATTGCGCTAATTGCAACGCTGAAATTAGTCGAAGGCCGAGATATGGGCTCAGAGGCATGCCGTTCAAAACCGGTTTGCTGGTGTACGTCTTGGTAAGAAGTTTAGTCCCCTTTGGATTTCTAATGCTTCTCATACCACTTCCCATTCAAAATCTGTCAGAAATAGTAGTTGTAAAGTCTCCCGTCTCCTATACAGTTCGCTCGCACACTCCAAATGTAAACGTGAATGGTTTGTATGCAATACTGACTGGGAAGAATGGGTGAGAGCTGGAAGGCAATAGCTTTGCACGTAAGACACTACGATTTGGCCAGCAGTGATTTAATGCCAGTATTCTCACCTTCCCGCCCTTGGTGTGTGCACTCGAGTAGCAAGGCTTGTCATGGTAAGAACAGACCATGACACTCATCTATATCCATGGTCTCGTCGTTTAACTAGCAAGTTGTTGTAGTAAGTGCGCAGCCCCCGCATACAGATCTGCTTCTGTTACAACAGGATGCAGGTGCAGGGCGATGCCACAGGATGTGGAGGAAGGAGGGCAACAGAGAAGAGCAGAGGAAAAGGGGAGGAAGGAAGGAGTAGAGATAGGAAACGGGATGAAGACGGTGGGACTGGAGAGATGAGAGGCAGAGGATGTGGTAGATGACGATCGAGATGGGAGAGAGGAGTGTGATGGCGAGGAGAGGATTGGGAAGAGGAAGGAGGTAAGGAAAGAACCAAGAATGTTGATTGTGTCGCAGACTGGACAGAAGGTAGAGGAAGAGAGAAGATGGGAAGAAGGTGGAGCATTGGCAAAAACGATAACATAAGGATAAGGTGGAATAAGGCGGTAGGAATAGAGGGTGGAGGACGGAGAGTGGAGTAAACTCAGTGAGAGAGAAGACCTATGCGACTGCGGGAAGGAGGGAAATCAATCGCTTTCTCACTAAAGAAAGCTGTGTGTTTCTGCCAGCAATTTCTATATCAACTGCTAAGGAACTCTAAACCTGTCATACGATGCAATCAGGAGTCTATCAATATTGATATTGATATTGATAGACTCCTGATGCAAAGGCATATTGGCTCGTTGGTCTAGGGGCAATGATACCTGCTTTGGGAGCGGGAGATCCCGGGTTCAAATCCCGGACGAGCACTAAATTCTTTTGTATTGATGTACACGTATACTTCTTTGAGTTAGGCAAACTCGAATTGCGCAACATCCTAAGGCTGATAGGGTCTATGTCCCCCAGGGTACTGCCGGAACGTACCCTGGGTCCGGTCCGGTATACCGGAACGTACACTGGTAACTATCTGATATGGTTAGGGTTAGGGTTAGGGAGTAGGCGTAGGCGACTCCCTAGACTCGTTAGTGGAGACCAGGAGTAGGCGAGGTACGGTCCGGCATATTAGATAGTACCAGCAGATCATATAAATCACGTTGATTTATATGCTCTGGTACCAGGGTACATTCCGGCACTACCCTGGGGGACATAGACCCTCTCAGCCATACTAATTATGGCTGAGAAGGTCTATGTCCCCCGGGGTACTGCCGAAACGTATCTGGGTACTATATAATATGCCGGACCATACCTCGCCTACTCCACTAACGAGTCTAGGGATCGAGTCACCTACGCCTACTCCCTAACCCTAACCCTAACCCTAATCCTAACCCTAACCATATCAAATAATGACCAAGGTACGTTCCGCCAGTACCCTGGGGGACATAGACCCTATGAGCCATACTAAGTTACACAAATACTGTTCCCACACGCTCCCTCTCCTTCCTACCGTCCCTCTCTCCTTCCCTCTCTCTCCCTCCTTTCATCCCGTCCTCTTTTTCTCCCTTCCTTCCTCCTTCTTTCCCACCCCCTCTCTCTCTCTCTACAACCCTCGTATTAACAAGGGCCTCTTATGTCTGGCTTTAGCGCTCACCCGACTTCAACGTCAACTGCCAGGACTACGAGAGCAACAGTCCCTTACACATCGCTGTCTACAATGAGGACGTCGAGATGGTTGAGCTACTGCTGGCGAGGGGAGTACAAGTCATGGACTGCCACCTGCATGCCATCAAGCTGGGCAACACGGCCATCTTTTCACTACTGCTTGACAAGATTGCGTGAGCACACTCGCAGCTTCAATATTGTTGACAGATATAGGAAATTTAAATTGAGGGCAAACATACATGTAAATATGCTTGCCGTTTATTGGCACCCCATATAACATGAAACCATGAAACCGAGCAGTCATTATTCATAGTTGTTGTTTTTTCAGTAGAATAGCCATTTAAATTATAGCCACATGACAACAAGGCTCTCATTCTATGTGTACGACTGACATAGACAGCGCTCTACTGATAAAAAAAAAACTCTCAAATTGCCATCTATAGGTATTAAATGTGATATCTGGAATGGTTTGCTTAGCAACTCGTACATTTTAGAGAAAACGATCCCACACTGGAGTTTCAAGGGTATCTGAACTCTGCGGAGTTTAGCAGTGGGATGACGCCTCTCATCCTAGCTGCCCAACACGAACACTATGATATCATCAAACTGCTGCTCGACCGTGGACACAAGATCAGTCCACCGCACAGGCCAGACTGTGAGCGAATACCTGCTGTGTGTATACATGCGTACATGTGCCTGTTTCCTGCCTGCTTTGTGTGTGTGTGTGCGTGCGTGCGTGCGTGCGTGCGTGCATGCGTGCATGCATGTGCAGGCAAGCATTTGTTTGTGTATGTGATTGCATGCACGTGCATGCATGCCAGAATGTTTGTGTGAGTTGAGTAGTCTGTATTGCAACAGCTCGTCCGTTATACTGCGTCTGCTGATCCTCTTTCCATGTCCCGGTTGACTCTATTCCCGAAAAAAAAAATCTGGTATTTCCTGGATCCCACTCAATTAACATGGTTTAAGTTTGCATCACAAAAATAACCGTTTCCGCCTCATTCTTGCAGTTAGTTCGTGGCAAGGGCTGATTGAGCCAGCGTACGTAATTACAGTTGTAATGTCTGCAGGTCTGTGCAAGAAGCAGTGTAGGTACAGCAAGAAGAAGGAAAGTCTGACAAACTCCCTGCGCCGCATCAACACGTTTAGAGCGCTCGCTAGCTCTGCCTACATCAGCCAGTGCTCCTACGACCCTATACTGACTGCATTCCAGCTCAGCCACGAACTGCAACAGTGTGCCGAAATCGAGAAAGAATTCACGGTTAGTGAGAATTAGTAAAGCTGAGATTTGCTTGTGGATATATAAATTACACGTTGCTATAACCCACAGTCAGATTTAGAAGCCGAGTAAGCCAGGAAGCCAAAAATGGCAAGTGATGATTGTTTTATTTGAGGGAATGCATGCGTGATACGTGAATGCATGGCTGATACGTGTGTGGTTTTGATTGTGGTTTCTAGCTGGAATACCTCAGTCTTGCAGACAGGCTGCAGCATTTCAGCGTCAGCTTGCTCGACTTGTGTCGCACGACAGACGAGGTGAAGCTGGTGCTCCGTCAGACTGCAGATGGCACCACCTCTGCATCCAAATTTCCTCGCTTGACCTTCGCAATAGATACTAAGCAAAAAGATGTACGATATTCCATACTTGCATGCAGCCAGATGAAGTTGAACGATAGCTGGTCTCTTTACAAATGCAAAATATCATGTTAATTCGTTGTAGCACATTGCTAATGTTTGCAACGTGAAATGTAGTCGAAGCCAGATATGGCCAGCACCGTTCAACCGGTTTGCTGTGTAGTTGTAAGAAGTTTTATCTTTGATTGCTAATGTTCTTCATACACTTCCCATTTCATAATCGCAAAATAGTAGTGTAAATCGCACTCTACTTACAGTTCCTCGCACACCCAAATTGTCAACAAGTGCTGTATGCAAACTGGATGGGAGAATGGGGAGACTGGAAGGCAATGAGCTTTGCACGTAAGACACTACGAGTTGTGCCACAGGTGATGTTAATGCCAGTATTCACCTTCCTCTTTTGGGTTGCACCGAAGAGCAAGCTTGTCAGGTAAGAACAACCATACATCTCATTATAATATGGTCTCCTTTAACAGCAAGTTTGTTGTGTAAGCAGGCATGCATACAGACATGCTTTGTTACAAGGAGCAGGTGAGGGGGATCACAGGATGTGGAGGAAGGGAGGGGCAACAAGAGAAGCAGGGGAGGGAAAAGGGGAGAAGGAAGGAGGTAGTAGATGAGGAAACGGGAGGAGAGGAGGTGGGGATGGGAGGAGATGGGAGGAGAGGATGTGGTAGATGAGGATCGAGATGGGAGGAGAGGATTGGGAGAGGGAAGGAGGTATAGGAGAAGAGAGAATGTTGTGTAGCAGATGGAAGAAGGTAGAGGAGGAGAAGATGGGGAGAAGGTGGAGCAGTTGGGAAACGATAACAGGAGAGGAGAAGGGTGGAGGAGGAAGGAGGTGGAATAGGAGGGTGGAGGAACGGGAGGTGGAGGAAACTCAGGAAGAGGAAGACATGATGCGGGAGGGAGAGGAGAAAGAAAGGAGTACTTAGTAATATACAGTGGTTTACCATTTGTGCCCAATTTTCCTGTGACGAAGTTTCCCGATCTCACATATACCTCCCATGTGAAACTCCATCACCTCAGGTGGTGGCAGTCTCCCATCAGCAAATTCATCAACTCGACTGTCATGTACATCGTCTTCCTGCTGCTGCTCTTTGCTGAGACGCAGCTCTACAAGAATTTCCACACTAGAGGCCCGCCAAACACCGGTGAGATACGTCGACCTTGTACACTTCGTTGATGTCACACAAAACCAATGCTAACCACACTCACACTATATATATATATATATATATATAATATATGTATATATATACCTCTTGCACTAGATGTTAGAACTAACAAAACAAAACACTGCACTAACTGTAATTAACAAACCTTCAAAATGCTTCGACAGGACAAAACCAATTGGTTAAGATTATAAATTTATCAATTACCAACTGCAATTAGACATGTGTCTTCTAATTCAACTATCTTTGTGTGTAAGGCTTTGAATGGCCTATCATGATATGGGTGATGGGATTCTTGTGGGAAGACTCAAAGCACCTCTACAGAGTCGGCTTCAGAAAGTACTTTGGTGACTGGTGGAACTGGTGAGTGCGTGCGTTTAAACGACATCAATATTATATCATTATATTTTATTCATTCAATATCTTTCACACGACTCCTTGTGTTTCAGTGCTCCACCCCTGCTTTACATAGCATTAATGTGTACACTTTCTTATTGTTGCCCGTAGCATGTAATATCTTTGTTACTTTAGCTACAATATGACAATGACATTGTCATTCATTATCAACTTTGCTGCCTGGCTTTGGTCATATCTGGATGTCAAGTGGTGGGGTAACAAGTACCTTGAGCGCAAGTACTGGCATGCGTAAGTATGAATAAGTATAATGTAGTGAAATATAATTTAAAGCACCATAAAAGTGAAAAAGTCTTTGGTGTAGTTCCACAGTGGTCACTGCTCTTCTCCCCTTGAGCAAGGCACTTTATTGTGGCATTTTATCATTTGCTTCAGTTGGCACCTCCTGTAGAAATGGGGTAACTCGCCAACGTGAAGTTCATTTTTTTAACTAATTGATGATTGGAAGATACAAGGTACAACGATTGTATCTCGGGCTTCAGGATAATAGAATCTCGAATTCCTGGAAAGATGTTTTATGCCTTAGATGTGTGAATGCTGTGATAAATGTGGCAGACACAGCAATGTAACTGTTGACCATTTCCAGCCACGATGCCACGCTTATTGGCGAAGGTATGTTCGCGCTCTCCACAGTGCAGGCATTCAGCAGGCTGCAATACATCTTTCAGATCAACCAACACCTTGGCCCTCAGCAGGTAAACCAATTATTTGTTATTTATATAACCACTGTGCAGAGTAGCTGACTGGCTCGTGTACTTCTAATAATTAGAGATATAATGATATCTCGTAATTACAGCGCATTGTTTACTATGTTACAGATCTCCCTGAGCCACATGATTCAGGATATTCTCAAGTTTCTGAGCCTCTTCTTCCTCGTGATGATTTCCTTCACGACGGGCCTCAACCGCCTCTACACATACTACAGCGGCATGGTCCGCATCGATCAAACAGGATTAAAGAAGATCCAGCTTGGCTCCTTCACCTCGTACGTGCCTTACGTCCACAAGTATAGCTGCAACCTGCAGCACTTCACCTGACCAATATGATTTCACGTGTGCCATATGTCTTTATTTTACCTGCCCAATATGCTTTCACCTGCGCCATAAGTCTTTGCGTGCTCAGAGTGAGTCATCTATATAATGTCACACAGGCAGTGACCGATACTACACACGATGACAATTCTGGTATACCATACTGTTGCTGAGAGGGCCTATGTCCCCCGGGGTACTGGCCGAACATACCCTGCATGTTACGGTCCAGTATACCGGAACGTACCTGGTACTATCTAATATGTCGGACGCGTACCTCGCCTACCTCCACTAACGAGTCTAGGGAGTCCGCCTACGCCTATACTCCCTAACCCTAACCTAATCCTAACCCTATCAAATAGTGACCAGGGTCTGTCCGGCAGTACCCTGGGGGACATAGACCCTATGAGCCATACTGTAAAGTCTCGATCGTTGCCACTGCCAAAGGCCATATACGTGTTTCACAGTGGCAATGATAGAGGTGTAGTACTGGAGCTAACCAAGAGCTACCTGTTTCTAGGCTCTAAAGAAACAGTCCCTACGTACATTGAAAGACCAATGAAAGAGTGCGGGTTCATTGACGTTAGTCTCACAGCCTATATGTACAACGATAGGATTCGAAGAGTAAAAAAACAAATTACCAGAGAATAACTGTCGCAGCAACATTAATTGCATGTGGTGACAAATTCCTGGCTAAATTAAATTGATAAATTAGAAATTATGCTTGTGTCCGTGATTGTGACTCACCTGTAACAGCAGATGTTCTTCACTGGAGTACCACTGAGCTTTGCAATAACCGAGCGCGATCAGCCAAACGACTGAGCGCGGACTGGGAACTAGGCTTGCATGCACGGGAGCCATGTCTGCACTATCCATATAGCCAACCCACACCTTAGCGCGAGCAAATTTCCCACTCTCTATCCCGCATTATCCTGGTGCATGCACAGAAATAAGAATATCTTAGTTAATATATGACACATATTGCTTTGAGTTCGGCTCCGGAAACACGAAAATTCTGGCTTATCTGCTTATAATTAATCCTGGCATAAAAATTAGTACCTAAATGTGGCATGAAATGTACATCTCTATATTCATGTATTTCTGAGCATCATCGCATACATCACGACAGAGATGAAATGAAATTGCTGCCTGATGAACTCACTGTCACTTTTCTGGAAGCTGTTGGCCATCATGGCTATGAGCATGTTGAGGAGACAAACAACCACTATGACGTGGTAGCTGGCAGAATAGCACGTAACCGACACCTGCAAAACAGACGAAATTTACTATATCGTAAGAGAGATGGAGAGGGAGACAGGGAGAGAGGCAGCGGTAGAGAGAAAGAGGGGGAAGGAGAAGAAGAGGGAGATGGAGATAAGAGCGATAGATCTTAAGGATATAGGGACAAGAGAAAATGATAGAAAGAGAGAGACAGAGCGAGAGAAATGAGAGAGATAAGAGAGGAAAGGGGAAGGAGAGAGAGGGGGGAATTCGATAGAGTGAGCGAGAAAGCTAGAAAGACAGGAAGGAGGAAAGGAGGGAGGGGGTAAATGTGAAGAATAAAGGGAGGGTGGAGAGAGGGAGAAGTACCAAACCTTCTGTGAAAGGAGTGTTTGTTGATAATGGATGTGTGCTGTGGCCTAGTTTTCGATGACAACGTCTGCTGACTCCACAGGTGAACATCGCAAACACAGACCAAAACAGCGTCCTGAATAGTTGACTGAAACGCTGCACAGGGATAAACTGCTTCAGCGTTCCTGCTTCAGTTTGTACTGTATTCTCCAGCAAATCATGATGTTCGATTTACTGCTGCCACATTATAATGCACCATATTGTCTTAAACAGTTTCTCACAAAGTAAAATCAGGCTGGGTAAAGCTGCTCTTTCTAGGTGACACAGATAAATCTATTTTTGTAAAAAGTGAAATCGTGCTCGGCAGAGAAGTATATGACGTGAAGGTTGAAGTCAAACTATGCTGGCCAGGAAAATGAGACGTAT